CCTTATTTGGTCATTTTGATCCGTGAATTTTCGTTATGCCATCGTAAATTAAATGAAGTCTTGTAAATCAAAGCAGCAGGGCTGAAACTTAAATACAGAGATGATAACAGTCAAATGAAGGAACATACGATCTTCATGGCCCCAAGTACAAAAACTTGCTTAACTAGCTTTTACTTTACTCCAGCTTTTTGGGGCCGTTTGCTTAAGACCTAAAATCGGCCGAACGCTCGATCAGGAAAATATATTTTTGTTGATTTCTTCAACAACAAAAAAAGGCCTTAGTCTCAATACTCTACCCAAAGAATTATCTATATCGCCTCACAACCAATAAAGTTTACTACTGCCTATTTATTTTTAACCGTTTGTAAGCTTTGAAGACGTTGACAGGATGTATGAATTGAAACAAAATTTCCGAACAAATCTAAGTGCAAACAAAAGTAAAAACATGGGACACAGGAAAAAAATCCTTCCGTTGAGAACGGCACCATCTGCTGGTACACTGATGGATCTAGAACGCAAAAAGACACAGGGGCAGTAGTGTTCAGGCATGGAAACAAATACTCAGAACCCATGGAAAAATACACCAGTATTTGCCATGTTGAATTCCTTGCAATTGAAAGATGTACTCAGGTCAATTTGAACAAAGGGTATAGAAACAAGAACGCAGCTGTAATGTCAGATCAACGTACTAACAATAAACTCAAACATCATTAGCTCAAAGATGATACTGATGGTACTGAATTGCAAAACGAAACTAAATAAATTTGCAAAAGAAAGTTATTCTCTGCTGGATCCCAAGATATGCTGGAGTAGAGGGAAACGAGAGAGCGGGCGCCCTTGCAAGAAAAAGGGCTACTCTGTTGATAGATCCTGAGCCTAGCTGAGGCATAGGGATTCACACTATCAATGAGTTTCTTAACAAAAAGTCAAAACAAAAATGAAAAAAAAAAAAACAGTAGATTTCATTCATTAGACACAAACAATCCAAGAACCTTTTAGAAAATTTTGAAAGGAAAGAAGCAGCAAAAATGGATTAAAGGAAGCAGAAAACAGGAACATAGGAATGTTTTTATTTTTATATCCTTTTGTAATAGTTGTAATGAATGATTGATTTGTAATGAGTGTTGTTTGGCTGACCTATATGTGGGTATCTGACCTGTTTGGACTGTAAATAAATAAAATAGTTGTAGTATTTGTGAGAGGAGTTTGCTTAGGAGAGAAAATGTGGAAACATTTGTTTTCATTCCGTTATCTAAATCAGTCTGCTATAAATGTCTACAGATCTTCCGAACGCCCGTAAATTCGGGGTCAGAGGTATAATCATTGGCAAAAAGATGCAATGAGGGTGGAGGTGTAGTTGGGACATCTGCAGTATAAAGTATATCAAAATTGGTGCGAGCACACTGCCCTGCGGTACGACGAAAGGTGGTTGCAAGAGTATAGTGAAACTTATCCATTTCCTTCCAGGTGATATGCACTCGTTTGAAATGTATTTACGCGAAATAATTTTTCAAATCACCTTTATTAAAATAAGTAAAATTGAACAGATGTATTCCGGTTCAACAATAATTGTCCGCTACCTGCACTTTTCCCCTCAGTTCCTCCAGTCCTTCGTAAATCTTGTGAAATTGTTTACACAGGTTAAGTGGTATTTGAAGTCAGCGTTTTTGGCGACATATCTAACGGATTAATCCGTTTGCAGGGAACTCGAACTTTCACATCCCATCGCAATGTTGACCAAAGGAAGCAACAACTTTACCCCTTTTATATACCATTGCCGTCTTCAACTATGTTCTTTTCCAACTATTTTGACATACCTTCTGGCAGAAGGAGTCATCCATTTGATTTTTATTTTTTATATATCTCAATTCAATCGACCATGTTCTATGAATTTCCCAGGTGGGCATTCATCATTCTCTCTGTATGGGAATTTAGTGCAGTTTAGTTTTTATGTTTGTATTATTTTGTTGCTCATGGTTATGTTTTACTCGTTGTTGTGATAAATAATATATGTTGGTTTCTGTTAGTTTTTGCATTTCTATTTTGTCAGTGATACTGGTTTTAATTTTTCATGTGTTTTATTTCTGCCATTTAGCCGTCGGAAGGGTGGTTCGGTTGGCTGGTAGTTGGCTTGCATAATAATAGTTTATCTTTTTGTATATACAGAATTATTGTTTTCGCAAGTTTCAGCCATTTTTGTTCATCTACGAAATATGCTGCTATTGCTGCTCTTTCTCTTGTGCATTTCAAGTTTTTATGTAAGAAGTTCTGGTCAGTGGTATGTGTGCTATGTTGTTGTATATTCTTATTGCTATGTTGTGAAGTTGTAGCTATAATTTCGGGGAATGTATAAATTTGTAAACATTCTTTTACGGGTTTGGCTAAAGTTGGGTTACCTAAAACAAAGTCCATCTTTCAATGTGTATATTTGTTTTTTGAATTTAAAATAGTTTTATTCGGTCGTCTGTATTATCTTATGGGTATTCGTTATTCCAGTGCTTATGCAGTGTTTGTTGAATTATGTTACTTGAGTCCATATTCCAGTCCATATTGAGTCCATGTAAGTTTGTTATGTGCAAATATATTAGTTTATTGGCAGTAGTTGATATTTCTGTTTTAATATTTTTGGTACGATTTGTGAGTCGTAATTATTCTTATTTGGGTTGATCGTTCGTATTTTGATGAAATCTTGTTGTTGAGGCAATGCTTGTTATCACCCCGAAACCACGTTTGGTCTGCGTTTCTTAGAGGGTTTCGCCCTTCGTTTCTGAGGCTCGTATTTGAAAAAAGAGGATTTCACTGCCCAGTTTCGATGCGTTTCTATCAGTGTTTTTATTCGTTTGTATATATTATATAAAATTATACAGTGAATAATGAACAAGGGGGTGAGGTGTAAGGCGGAGAGAGGTGGTGGTGTGTAGTGGACAGAGGTGGTGGCGGGATGTGATGGACGCGGTGGTGGGGTTTAGTGGCGGTGGGATAAGATGGAGGTGGAAATGGAAAGGTGAGTTAAGGTGTAATGCGGAAATGAACGTGAAAATTGTAAGGTAGGTTAAGGTAAAAGGTGGTTAAAAGTGGAGGCGGGTTCACCGTCAGACCCGTGAAGATGGAAAGTGAAAGGTGGAGTAAGGTTGTAAGGCGGTGCCAAAGCCGGTCTATCTACCAGAGATAGATAAGTATCACCTTAGATGATACAAAGCAAAACGCTTGATTGATGATTTGGGAAAAGGTTGGAGGAGTTTATTTTTGAAGTTGAGGTTATCGACCTGCAGTATACGATGTTGTGAGTTGGATCTTCAGGAGGTCAAATGACGGATGAATTTAAAGAAACAGGGAAACAGCTTCCGGGTTCAGCCGAGCTTTCGACCCTGAGGATGGCGATATAAAACGCCGAAATCTCGGCAGAACCCGGAAGCTGTTTCCTTGTTTCTTTAAATTCATCCGTCATTTGACCTCCTGAAGATCCAAATCACAACAGAGTTTATTTTTGGCAACCGTTTTTAAGGAGATTTTTTCTAATATGGATTAATGCCTCACAAAGGATATGTTCCGATATCTTTCGTTTTTCTTTAAAGTCAGCAAGTTTATAACTTTGTCCATCTTCTTTAGACAAGAAGACAGTCTGTATAAAAGTCTTCAATATTTCTCAAATCTTGCCAGCTGAGGGAGGGGAGTTCCTTCGCCTTCCGTTTTGAGAGGTTTATGAATATCTGAACTTGTCTCTTACTGATTTTGGACAGTGCTTGGGTTTTTCTTTCTCAAGTTATTTTTCCTTCCTAAAGCACCAACTTTACACACACTACACTGCGTCTAGCTTCGGATCCAATGGATTAGAGGGCTATCCGTTGGCTAGCTGGTCAGCCTGTTCCTTGTTATTCCTTCATAATCTGGAATAAATCTCAAGGTAACTTTGTAGTGTTTTCCTAGGACTTTTAGGCAAATTAGGCTTGGATTTAGAAAATCAACTAAAAACGTCTTGAAAGTAAATGATTTTCAGTGTTTTACATTTCTTGTTTTGCGAAATTTTGACAGTAGACAATAGTATATTTTTTAATTGAAATAGCCAATTACGATACTAAGTATTTTATTTTGTGTCATTTAAAAAAAAAAAGTGTAGTCTATTAATGCCTGTCCATTTATCTTATCATGCTTATTTCTACTCTAGATGCTCCACAGCTACAACTGTCAGTTCGTATCACAACTAGACAATGTTCTTTTATCCCGCTCTAGGGTAATAAATCCATCGGATTTTAATTAAAGGATAATGACAACAAAACGAACAACGACACTGAAATTCCAATTTTTAAGGTATTTATTTTTATTATTAATAGTTTTAACGGGCTATTACGGACTCAAGTAGTTTATCTTGGTAATTTTTATCAATCCAATTAATTCAATAATAAGTATTTTGTATATGTGATAATCTTATGTTTTTAATGTGTAAAAAGGACGACTAATTGTCTTCAATTCCACCATTGCATGGATAATTAAAAAACAATGTTCGACATTGATATATTTTTATTCTAACGGAAAATATTTTTTTTGTATTTTTGAGACATTAATTCTATCAATAACTTCAATTAATTCAGTAATTAAATTTTGATATGTTGAGTAGTTTTACTAGTGTTTAATAAAAATTGTTTAAGTGGAAAGTTACAATTTCAAAATAAATAATGTAATTTATATTTTTTGTTATTTGATGGACATTTCGTGCTTATTTGAAAACTCACTGTAGAAAAGTTACAACGAGAAGGTAGACAGACGTTTTTGCAATGGTTTATGAAATCTTAACATGTCGTTTAACACGTAAATGAAAGTAAAAAAAAAATCATTTCAAGTGGGCAAATCCAAGCCAGGCATTAATTGTGAAGAGACGAGTCAGTATAAAAGGAACGAGATGGTTAATGTCTGGTACATGTAAATGACGTTTACGTAATTCATAACGCTCATATTACGTAACTGTCTTATCTTTTATTTTTCAAACTGTAGAAATGGCCAGCAATAAATTGTATGTGTCGATTTTTATTCTTTCTTCCATTTGGTTGCCGGCTTCTTCGAACCCGCCGTGAGAACATGCTCTACAAGATCTGCAAACCTGGTAAACTCGGACAATGGATAGTGGCAATAACAGGTACGTACATTAACAATACATTTACTGCTTCTATATCTACAACGACTGGAATAGTATAATTTAATATTATTTCTTTTAAAAAATCTATTATTTGAAAGTTGAGATTTTTTAAACAAACAATTTTTTTTTTATATTGGGCTATGGCAATAACTTAGCGATCAGATAGATGGTTCAGCTACAATAAAATATATTAACTTCCTTCACATAAATGGTTAGAAACAAATATTTATTTAATGAAGCCAGTCCTTACACTCATTCCAAATAAACGGTACGGTTATTTCATATGCTTGTAATTAAGTTATTTGACAATCAGGGATGTTGTCCATAGTCGAAGGCAAATACACTTACGGCAAACCTGTAATTGAAAATTAGGCTTTTAATAAAATATTATAAATTATTAGTTAATGTTCAGGGTGGTGTTTTTGTTCATAAACAACGGGGATATATATTGTTGTTTTAATTTTTTTTACAAACATTCCACTCCGGTAGATGAAAACATAGTAGATAAACGCTCCAAACTTTTAATCTAATCATTTTGCTACTATCCAATAAAATGTGTGTAAATAATACAATGGATGTGAGTGTGTGTGTGTGTGTGTGTGCGTGAGCGAGATGTGAGAGAGAGAGAGAGAAAGGGAGAGAGAGAGAGAGAGCGAGAGAGAGAGATGTGTATATATATATATATATATATATATATATATATATGTATAGGTGTAGATATACATCATACGAGACATGTATATATATATATATATAATATATATATATATATGTATATCTCGCTCTCTCTCACTCACACACAATCAAACAATTATTATCATGTGATGGGGTATTTATTGAACTTTACAACCTCTTTGTTTTATTTTTTATTACCTACCTTCATTTCGGGAGCACTGCCGATGGCTGATAAAGGCTATAAACAAAAAACAGACAATTGTTCGTAATAAAAACATATCTGTAAATTACAACTGTAAAAATCACCATAAACAATTTTATTCTCCTATAAATTGCAATTAAACCGTACCTTGTTGGAGCTCGGAGCATACTCATTCACTGTTTGTTGTTTCCATAGAGATTAAGTGATCCTTAATAGAAAATAATCACACAGCGCACTCAGTTTATATAGATTCTTAATTTATTCACTGGACAACTAATTTTTAAATAAACAATAAATAATTTACAGTAAATTCACCTTATCGATTAGTATCGGACACAAACTTCCCATCTCAACCCCACCTTTTGAATTTTCCCTCCTTTTTGCCAGTTAAGATTTAAATAAGACTTAAAATTAACTATTATTAACTTCACTAATTTCGTGGTCCGCTTGACCAATTAATACATTACAATTAATTAAGGTTTTTAGTTGAGATGAAAAATTAACGTTCAAAAAGAAATAAGTTAATTACAGTATGATTGTATTATTCGTTTGGTACATAAATATAACGTAAAGCTCACTAATTTTTTTGAGTCTTTTTGCATGTTAACAATATTATTTTTCATATTAATATAAATATTTTGGAGAATATATAGTGTGCTTTCATTCGATTATTTTGCCAATATTTGTACATTATCAAAATCACAATTATGCTTTATTCAATTAATTAATCTTTATGAAAGGTATTGGTTGAGACGAAAAAGTCAATGGCACGAGCGGGATTCGAACCCACGATCTTCGGCTTGATACACCGCTGCTCTACAACTTGAGCTATCGTGACTTCGATCCACTCGGACACAAACTTCCCATCTCAACCCCACCTTTTGAATTTTCCCTCCTTTTTGCCAGTTTTTAAATGTCGTGTAATCTATCTGATTCTCGGCGACAAATGAAATGGCCACGGAGAGCTTTCGTGAAGATTTCCTCCAGTTTAATTATTAAATCCATTACAGTTCGTGGCCCAATTGACCAATTAACTTTTTTCAATTAATTAATCTTTATGAAAGGTATTGGTTGAGATAAATCAGTGGACGAGTGGTCAAGGAGGGAAAATTCGAGAGGTGAGGTTATAGCTCTATTATAATGATTTTCTGTAAGCATTCTATCTTTGGTTTGGGTCATTTGTGTGTCTCATCAGATAACTCCAAAGAAGAAATAAACGTAGCAAAGTACTTTTATGTTATTATAATGAGTGGATCGAAGTCACAATAGCTCAAGTGGTAGAGCAGCGGCGTATTTAGCCGAAGATCGTGGGTTCGAATCCCGCTCGTGACGCTGACTTTTTTATCTCAACTAATACCTTTCATAAATATTAATTAATTGAAAAAAATTAATTCGTCAATCGGGCCACGAACTGTAATGGATTATGCTTTATGTTGAGTAAGTGATGAGATAAAACTGTAGCTTATAGACAGACATATGACGAAATAAAAATCAAAATTGTTATAAGCACCCACACAAACAAAAGCCGAATGGAATTCGGTAAGAATAGTTTTTAGCCTAAGTGATCAGTGCTGTTATAAAAATAATTTGCAAGGTTTAAAAAAAAAAATTCAAATGCAATGCTCAAAAAAAGTTGATAAGCAATGTTGTCAAGAAAGAAAAAGCAAAATTCGTATAATTACATGTGTAAACAAAAGTTGAATGCCATTACAAATTTGAAATGTAGATTTTTTAACCTATGTGATTATTGTTTTCATAAAACCAATTTAAAATATTTAAAAAAACAATTTTTGCAAATACAAACACTCAAAAAGCTTGTAAACGTTGTTATTTGGAAAGAAAAGGCAAACGTATTTTACAACGTAAATACAGTGAATGGTAATGATGAAACAAAAACATATAAAGCCTACTAAATTTCATTATATAAAATTAAAATACAAAAATTTCATTATATAAGGCTACTAAAGATCTAAACAATAAAATGTGCGGAATTGTACCAACAATAAAATAGAAAACAGATATATTAAGCCAAAGTAATGTTTATATGTTCTTGTGATAACGTTTTTCTTCATGCTAGACCCATCCTTTTACTGTTTGTTCTTATGTAGTGTTGATGGATTCTTTTTAAATTTTCTGTCAGGTTTGAATATTAAAGTTATCAACTCATAGAACAATATTAAGATATATAAGATATATAAGATAAATAAAATTAAAAGTAAACTTAAGTAAAATGTATATAGTTCGATCGTCATAATTATCTTGCTATTACTATTTCCTTCCAATCCTAGACAAAGATAAAAAGAAAATTTGTCATAAAATAACAATATAAATCGACAACTTGCTATTTAATATCTATAATCAGAGATTATCACAATGTAGAAATGAAATCGTGACTTCTAGCCGAATCAAAATAATCTTTTAATTTTATTCAATCTAAAACTTTTGTTCAAAATATTACGTAATATGATAAATGAGAAAACAATGTTTTATAATGAATATAAAAGCGTTCTAATTTTTCCTGGGAAGAAATTTTTTTACAACCAAATTTGTAGCCTGCTTGTTTCTGCTTAATACTGTTTTTTAATTAAAAATACTAGTAAAATACAAAGGGTGGCAGGTTCTATGAGTTAAATGTCCTGTAAAGACAAAAATGTTAGGTAGTTTTTTTTTTTACTTTTATCGAAAGTATAGTTGATATAAAAGTGTTTTTTTTTATTTGCTTCAGCATGCTTCTGTTCAATGACTTCAGGCCAAGGGTTCTCATGGCCGTCGCCGGCGTTACCAATGATCATATCCGGGACCGCTGGGTTCAATCTCACGGACGTGGAGCAGTCATGGATGGTTACCATAACTTTTATAGGAAACGTAGTTAGCCCTATACCAGCCGGGTTCGTGATGGATTTAATAGGGAGGAAGAACACGCTCCTCGTGTCATTGCTGAGCATGATCGCCTCGTGGATCATAATCTACTTCAGCACGACTGCCGTCACGTTATACATCGCCAGGTTTCTCGCTGGGCTCTGGGCGGGCGTCGTGTACACGGTCGTACCGGTTTTCATCGGAGAAGTCGTCGATCCTGACATCAGAGGTGCCATGGGAGCCATGTTTGGAGTGAACATGTACATCGGCGCTCTTTATGAAAGTCTTGTTGGAATGGGAAGCTATCACACGTTGGCTTTCCTATCCGGTGTCCCTCCGACACTACTTTTCGTAGCTTTTCTTTTTCTACCAGAATCTCCTTATTATTATTTGCTCAAAGGCAAAAAAGAAAAAGCTAGGCGCAGCGTTATATGGCTGACCGGTATGTGCTCGGACGAAAAACTCGACAAAATGGACGCGGCGGTAAAAGAACAACTGGCTAAGAGAGGCTCGTTCACAGATATTTTTAAAACGAAAGCTTCCAGGAGGGCGTTCGTCATCGTAGAGGTACTAGGGGTCGTTCAGAGAGGAGCTGGTGTCACCCTGCTATTCGCCTATGTGTCTATTACGATACCAGATTCTATTGTGACGGCCACACAAAGTTTCATCGTCCTCTGTGTAGTGTGGATTGTAATGTCGTTCTCCTCTAGTTTCATCATGGACAAGTTTGGTCGCCGTATAATTCTTCTGATTTCGTGCATCGGTGCCGGCCTCGCTATGCTCGCCGTGAGCATTTGGTTCTATTTGAGAGATCAAGCCGCCTATGATGTCTCCAACACGAACGTCCTACCTCTAGTTTTTCTCATAATCAACGGGATGTTCTACTCTATAGGCATTGTCTGCATCCCGCAGCTGGTCCAAGGTGAGTTATTTTCCGTCAACATAAAGGCCAAAGCGTCGGCAATTGCATGCATCACGACATCACTCGCGTCCGCCATCACCGTGAAACTCTATCTACCACTCACCGAGTACGTCGGGGTCTATTCAAATTTCCTCATATGCTTCCTGTCCTGCCTCGTAGGAGCTATTTTCTCAATGACGTACATGGTCGAGACTAAAGGTAAAACGCTTGAACAAATTCAGGATGTACTGGCCGAAAGCAGAAAGAAGAAACCAAGATCGGACATACCAGGTATTGGCAACAATGTTTAATTGTAAGATCTTCGTCAATAAATTATTTTACTTATTTTTATTTATTAATTTCTGTGTCCTATTTACTACACCTTCGAATAAACAGTTCTTATGCTATGATGATATTTTATTAAAAAATGTATTCAATGACATTAACGTTCATCTGAACAAATGCCGCTTAATTGATAGGTTTTGTTGTGGGGTCTGAACTGCAGCTTTCACGATGTTACTGGTCTGCCTATTCTAACTACTTTAGACTACCATCAGTCATCACCAACGGTTGACAGCCCAGACCAGCTGGAATGGGCAGACCAGTAAAACATGACGGTTTAACAATTAAAATTTATAAATAAATACTTTTGTTAAAAACCTAAACAATAATATTTTGACAAACTGTAAAAACTATTGAACATTATCTGAAAGAAAACTTAAGAATTGAAGTAAATAGAAGAAAAGAAACAACAAGTTTACTTTATATTTTCAAAATGATAGAACATAAAGTATTGACATTACACACATACACACACACACACACACACACACTCACACACACACACACACACACAAAAAGTATTACATATCATTTCTCATATTACATCCTAAGTATAACAAATATGTCCTGGTGGTGCTGAACTTTAAGTTTGAAAAATTGTTCCTTATCTTATTGTCTATGCATAAAGTTGTTTAACTGTTTACACTAGTTGGTTGTAAATTCTACACTACTATACTATGTTGTTTTATAAAATTTTCTTTCTTATCTGGTAGGAATAAAGTTCTTTTTAACAAAGTTTACTCAATGCTTCCTTTGCGAACTTAAAAGTGATTAAGAGTAAACCATGTTTAATTAAAGTTTTTGTAAAGTCGAACAATGATTTCCTTACGAAATTATTTCAGCTGTTTTTTCTGAATTTTGATTATTACCTGAAAAATGTATGACCTGACGTATTTATCATGTTAAAAAGATTTAAATACTAAATATTAATTTATACATCTGTAGGCAACAAGAAGATTTCGATAACTCTGTTAAACTTTCGATTCCTTGAATATTTTTAATTGCCTTTTCTACGAAATTACATTTTTTATGAGATTTTGGTTACAAAGGTACGCGAGAAGAATATTCTATTTCTGTACACCAACGAAACAAATATTTTGCTGGATGATTCCCCTCTTTCAACCTCATCCATGATTCAAACCTTTGCAATATTGATGAGGTAGAAAAACGTCACTGTAGAAAAAGTCATTATTTCACATCTGATATCGAGTATTCTTGTAGACAAATATAAATGATTATTTAGATAAAAGTAACATAACAATGGACAATTATTTTGTTATAATATATGATGCAATTACAATTAATTAAAGTTTTCAGTTGAGATAAAAAAGTCAATGGCACGAGCGGGATTCGAACCCACGATCTCCGGCTTGATACGCCGCTGCTCTACCACTTGAGCTATCGTGATCTCGATCCGCTCAGACACCAACCTCCCATCTCAACCACACCTTTTGAATTTTCCCTCCTTTTTGCCATTTTTCAAATGTCGTGTAATCAATTTGATTCTCGGCTACAAATAAAATGGCCACGGAGAGCTTTAGTGAAGTTCACTTCATTTTAAACTTATTAAATTAGTTTTTGTATTAAAATAATGAATAGTTTAAGGATTTTCTGAATCTTTGACTGAATTGAATCAGGTAACGAAAAAATTTTTTTCTGTTGAAATTATCATTTGTACAGTTGGACGTTAAAGTTGAAGATTAAAAATAAAATCTGTCGCATTTAGAACGGTTTGAATCGTAAATTTTTTATTAAGGATATTTGTCAAGAAACGCAGGCTAATACATATAAAAATTGCTAATAATAAATACATTCAAGATAAAAGAATCTTTCATATAATCCGTTTTATTACAACTAAACAAAATAGATAGCTCATCATTTCATGGCCATTTGTTTATAATTTTAAATTTTAGTGAATGTTTTTTTGTAAAAAGGAACCATAGTCTTATTTAAATTAAAAAGAGTCATCCTGTACAATATGTCGTAAAATGTACCATTACTGTACGTTTTTTCTTCTGAGATTTCTTCAAAATTTAGTATTAGAATTGAACTTTATCTAAAAATGATGACGAAGGGCCATATGGAAGAAACCATTGAGTTTCTTTGACGATATTTTGAAAAGTTTATAAGGATTTTGAAATTTTTATTAATAACGTTCAAGGTAAATAAACATATTTTTTAAAATAGTCTGCTCTAGTGAGATTGTTTAGCGCACGGTACAAAAAATATTAAAACATAGTTGCAAGCATAGTTTTTAAAATGCATTTTATAAATGCAAATAATTCAAATAAGACAATCTATTAATTTTACACGTGAATAATTAGTAGTTAGTAATACAACATGAAAAAATAAATTAACTAAAGGAAGTAGTGAAATAAATCGTTCTATCTTAGATCCCGGGAGGTCATAGGCGGAAATGAAAAAGTCGACCAGGCCCTGAAACACCAGTGAGTCGAGCGGATGTGAAAAAAAACCTAAGTTAGAAACTGCCACTGCAGAACCGCCGTCGGTCAAATCGTAGACCATGGAGGAAATGAGGAAAAAAGAAAGAATCACGTTCACTCGCCTGGGGATAGGCCACACCAGGCTGACATATGGTCATCCCTTCACCCAGAAAGACCACGGGTATACCTTTTATGCGGCGCACAAGTATCTGTAAAGCACATATTAATACAGTACGAAAAATTAGCACCGCAAAGAATATGATGTGGCCTGCCAGAATTTTAAACAATTTCTAAGGCACATTAGTGGTTCTAATAAGAAATTGATTCGATACCTCAAGCATATCACCATGAACGGTCGCATGGAAAGAACCATTTCAAATATAGGTTGAAATAATATTCCTAATTTGAGTGAATATATTTATTAGCGTAAACGTAATAATATGTGTGTTTGTGACAGAATATTGAGTACCCACAAACACACCAAAGTATTCTACGCTTTTTAGTTTTGTAAATATTCGCGGAGTGGTAGGGGGTTCTCACTAGCGAAATATCAAAAACATTGGAGTAGTGGTTAAGTGTGTATAGGTACGGTCTGTGTAGAATATCGAGTACCCAAATACCTGTGAACCAATTAAGTTAGTTAAGTTAAGAGTAGTGAGTGCAATTGTTTATTTCTTTCTTCGAAAAACTCTCTCCATTAATTTAATTTTTTAAATTGTTTGATTAAATTTGAACATTATGTTAAAGCTAATCATTAGTGATATATAAAAAATAGTTTAATGTTTTTTAAAATCTAGGTTTCACACTCTTTACATGTTTAAGTCAAGACAAAAATTTTTAATAATTTATTTAAATTTATGTAATATATTAATAAATATATGATATCATTGTTAATTTTTTGTACTAAGTAACGAGAATTTGTTTAAATATTTTTGTGATCAGTTGGAAATGAACCTGAGTATTCCTTGGTTTAAATATTTGTTTATTTCGGAAGTTTCGACCTTATTGGCTTATCCTTAGAAACCCTAACTGGTCGGGTCATCTCTTTACATGCATACCCTACACAGAAATTTGGCGAAAAATACTTTCCCAGGCTATTCTACATGTCAAATTGAACTGAAAGGTTCATATTGTCCAGAGTCTGATTCTCAATTGTAATCGAGATATTTAGGGTTACCTCAACCTTTCACAACCTTTTCCCATAAAGCCCTCCTTATCTCATAACTCAAGTTAAAGTTTTTGTATAATGCGAAAGAACCTGGTTAAAGAAAGTAGAGAAAATAGCTTTACTAATAGAGACAACCACTCAATAGGATTAGCTCGTAGAATGAAGGAACAAGGGAATCCGGGTTAATAAACGGTATCTTTTAGCTGCTGGGAATCGAGTGTTTACCCAGCTCTCCTTATCTGAACGAGGCCCGTCGGGATTTAGCAGTCTGAGAGAAGGGATACAATAAAGCCATTAAGGAGATAGACGGAGCGAGAGGACGGATAGATTGAAGGGAGGAAAGGAAGGACAGAGAGAGAGAGAGAGAGAGAGAGAGAGAGAGAGAGAGAGAGAGAGAGAGAGAGAGAGAGAGAAAGACAGAGAGAAGCAAGATTCGACCGATGTCCCATTTAAACCTGTGTAATTGGTGCTTCTGTCTCTCTCCCTCGCCGGTTGACTCCCTCCAGCCCTGTAGGATCTATTACAGAGTTGTGGAAATCACTATTAGGGCTCCTCACCCCCAACCCCTCCGGCCTTCACCTACCGGCTTAGAGGCGCACGCTGATTGGTCTCTAAGCGGATCCCACTAATTACGAATGACGTCACTAAACACCCCCCAAGACCTGCTTCCAACCCCTGTTCGAACACCTTCAATTAGTTCGACTAAAATCCCAGTTTCTTTCGTAAATTTCGTGAATGACAGTTTTTCTTGGATATATTGTGAGAGCAAAAGTCGCTCTTGATCCAAACAGGCAACGCTCAAATTTTTTTAGAAAGATAAGCACAAGCTCAATTAACTACGATGATAAAATTAGACCAAACCCGAAGTTTTTCATAAATAACAATTTTTTGTAATAGGTATAGGAAAAATCAAATATCACACCTGCCTCTAAATGGGATAAACCCAAGCACTGTAATTATAACGTCAGGCCAAAATCAGGTTTTGTTAAGAGATTGATCGTCCTTGTGTAGATTCGTTTGTGCAATAATCAGTTTTAGGTCAAAGAAACATAAAAACCTCCGACTTCATGCCAAGCTTTCGTTTAATTTGTAAACATCTTCAGAGCTGAGTTAGTTTACAACTTCTCTATAATGTGTATATGTAGATGTTTAAAAATCCTTGATAATAAATAAATAACATATAAAACAACAATTAAAATATCAAAAATACTAAAAACAGCGATTTATTTATTATTGTTTTTAGTATTTTTGATATTTTAATTGTTGTTCTTATGGGGGTTGTTGGAAAATTATGGATGTAATTAAATCAAAACCAGGCACTTTGATAAGTGAAAAAAATTGTTTTTATAATAAGTTGTTTTGGTTTCCTGCTTAAGCAAGAGTGATAGTTATTAATTATAATTAC